TGATGCACTTCAAATTAAAATGCGAATGCAAGCGAAAACTTCAAAAGAAGCACTAGAACAGAAAACAGAAGCGCAAACGAGATACTAATAGACAATGCCAAATGCTAGGGGATCCCAGGATCTCTTTGTGGGTGTTTGTGCTTCTAAAAAGGGGGCGCTGGTCTTCGGTCTTTGGTAGGCGTGGCCGTTTCATTGAATTGAAGAACCCACCATAAACACACTAACACACTGTCCCAGCGAAAGTGTTGCCGTCCAAGGATGTGTGTGTTGGTGCAGCCAACGAAGGATAAAGTTAGCGACGATGACGAAGCAGGACCCGCAAATGCACTCTGTCCTAGCGATGGTCGGAGGTTTCGTTGGGAAATCAATTCTAAAAGTACCCTCAAAGTCCATCCAAAGTCATTGAACACTTGAAAAAAAACAAGGACATTAAAAAAGCAATTTTAAAATAAATTTATTAATAATTATTAAAAGCCTTTTTTAAATCAATACTGTCTCTTTTTTAGGTACACTTAGCTGAGATAAAAAACAAAACCCAGGCTATATGGCTTGTAATCAAATAACGTTGCTGTGTATTTAATTAAAAGCAATTCTGTGTTATCCGTTAGTCAGATTCTGACAGCTAAAAGTTAAGGACTTTAGGCTTCCTATGCAGCGTGCTCAACGTGGCGTATACGTGATTTTTTTGTTTTGAGATTTTAAAAATTGTTGATCACAATTTCTGTATTGGGTCTAGCAGATATTGCAAAAACTAAACATTCAATGTCTTGTCATTATGTTTTTATTTAAAAATGTCGCAGATTTAGGATAAATATTTCAAGCATAAAACAAAAATGTTAAATATTTTTATAACCTAAAACTTTCTCGCTACTCTTAAAATAATTTCTATGTTACTTACTTAAATTGAATGAATAATTTTATTTAGCCAACAAAGAGGCATACACACAACGTTCTGTAAGGATTACCGAAAAAAAAAACTTAAGCCTGATTGGCGGCCATTATCGAAATCACTCTTCGAAGCCTTTCCACTTCCGTTTCCGCGTCTGCTTCTGCTTCTGCTGCTGCTCGATTCAATGCGATTCAATTCGCTGCGATTCAATCACGTTTTCGGGCACGAACGAGGTCACGCGCCCATCCCTAATACAAATGCACTTTGGACGTGGCCGACGCGCGCTAAATTCGCCTTAATTCACTTTTCATACAAAACAGCGGCAGCACAAAAGCACGCCCCGCACGCACACATACAGGAGCAGCCAGGACACACAAACACACACACACTCGGAGGCAGGGACACAAGCATACACCCGCGCACACAGAAGCAAATGCATGTTTGTTGTAATTAATTTAAAATATTATTACAAGAGCGCGCGCGAGCGCTAAACTAAAGAAGAAAGCAGAAACAGGAGCCGAGGTGGCAGCAGCAGCAAGGAGGATGCCAAAGGGGGGCAGGGGCTGCTGTGCGGGGGGGCTGAAAGGGGAGCACAGACAGTGACAAGGCAACGTTAAATAATTATAGCCCAAGCGAACTGCAAACAGCGAGCAAACAAACACAGGCACACAGACACACACACAGCCAGCAGCAAACAGCATGTGAAGTGAATGAGAGGGATGTGGCCAAATAACCGTATGCTGCTTCCCCGCCATAATGTATGGGTGTCTGTATGTATGGGTGTCTGTGTGTGGAAACTAAAAAATCCCTAACCCCGAACTTTGTTTTTAATTGACGCGACAACAAGCAGGAACAGCAAATCAACAAGCAGCATTCCAAAAAGCGGAATAAAGGATAACAGGACCCAGGGAAGGCATCGAAAGAGCGGCGGAGCTAAGGGAAAAGTCTGCCAAAATACCAAAAACAAAATTAAAAAGGGGCATCCCAAAGCGAAAAAAAAAACAGTAAGAAAGTAATAAACGTAAAGCTATTACAAAATCTGATAATGGTCTGAGGGCAATGGCAATGAGGCAGACAAATAAACGCATGCCGGCTAACACAAACACACACACACACCTACACAAGAGCACACGACAGGACATTAGAAGAGCGCGAAAGAGCGAGAAAGGACCCGAAGGAGAGAGCGGAACGAGTGGCAATGAAACACAAACACTTCAAGAAAAGGTATTCAGCTAAGAACTGGGTTTTTGAGTTTCCTTATACTGTAAAGAAAGGTATTGAAATCTCAAAAGATTCTAAATCCTTTCTTTAAAGATTAAAGGTGAGCAATAAATGTTTTTAATACTGCTAAAAGGAAGTTAAATATACTTTTAGCGAACTAAATATAATAATCAATTAAAGCTTATTACTTTATTATAAATTATAATACCCTGCAAAGGTATACAAATTAAGAAAGTTTTCTGTTACCCCCATTTCTCGCTTAAAATCACTCAATAGTTACTTAAATTCTAAGCACAGAAACGAACTAAATATAATAATCAATTAAAGCTTATTACTTTATTATAAATTATAATACCCTGCAAAGGTATACAAATTAAGAAAGTTTTCTGTTACCCCCATTTCTCGCTTAAAATCACTCAATAGTTACTTAAATTCTAAGCACAGAAACCATAATAACTAAATAAGCATAGAAATATTTTAATTTTCTATCTTAAAATCTTTAATCTTAAAAACTCTTTCTCTTTTTCCTGTGCACAATAGTGCAAGGGATCGAAATAGTAACAAAGTGCAGGACACCCATAAAACCCGTTACAATATGCCCTGCCATTGAAACAGCAGCAGTGGCAGTGGCAGTCGCAACAGCAGAAGATGCAGCACAGCAGCAACATCCAAGGCACAGCGGCAACATCTACACCAGCAGCAACAACAGCGCCAGGAGCAACATAAACATTGAGGCGCGCGTGCTGCGACGGTTGCCGCAATATTAATTTCACGAATGAACAACCCTTGAATAAGCATGCACTTCATGTACCGTTATTATGGCCCCGAAACGTGAGAGTTTTCTCTTCCATACCGAAATTTCTCTCTTTTAAAGAGAGCCACGAGAGCTGCCGACAGAGCCACTAACTTGCTCTGAAAGCTTTTGTCCTTCGTCTAATTTCGTATCACTTCGTTTATTTAGCCGAAGTCAGCCAGTGTGTGTGTGTGACTGAGTGAATGTGTGTGTTGGAGGCCAGTTGCTTTTTCATTGTGCATTTCCCAGAGGTGCATTTTTCTGAAAATCTAATTTGAGAGATTGAGATTGTTTGGTCTTTCAATGTTCGTGTTGCGACGCTTGCAATTTCTGGCCACCGCCAACAATAAGGGTTCTCGTCCTCCTCCCCAAACACACATATACATATATATGGCACACAAAAGTGTATGTGTTCGGCCATATATTTATGCAGCAGTGGCAGGATATTGGGGAGTTATGGTCTCGTCTCGGAAATACTCCAAGTCACAGTCACACGCTCACTTTAATTGGTCGAGTGCGTCGCAACGCTGCGGCAATTTCTGTTGAAAAATCTACATGGGAGATTTGCTAGCTGCAACTGTAATGCCAGCAGCAGCAGCAGAAACAGCAGCAACAGCAGTAGCAGCATCTGCAACAGCAGCAACATCAGCCAAGGCAGCAACGGAATCCGCATGGCAGCGACTTCAATCATTGCGCGCCACGCTCGCTGCGGTTTGACAAACATTTTTCACAGAATGTGCGAAGGCAACCGCCAAGCGCCAGGCTCCACGGCAACCGAACTCCCTGTTTAATGGCACACGGCTAAAAAAAAAAATACGTTTTTTGTTGTTACCAACTAGGAGTATAAGTTCGTATGGAATTTTACAACTTTGGTAATTGAATATAATTAGTTTGCTTACATTGCAGTTATTTTTTTCTACTGGAAACTATGAAGGATAAAGCTAATTTGATAAAATGTATTAATTTCAGAAACAATTTAATTAAAGTGTAAAGGAATAACAATTCAAATTAAATAAAGTATTTTTTTTTCCTCTGTGCATCCCTGCCGAGATCTCACTCCTTTGGCCTTTGCCCGTCCCTTACTTATTCGTGTATGTTTGATGAGTATGCGAGAGTTTTATGGCTGTATTGGGAATGAGCTGTGAGCAAGAGCCCGCCGTATCGGAAGCAAGGGAACGGGGAGGGCTGAGCCTGGAATGAGGAGCAGCATCAGGAGCAGGAGGAGGCGCAAGGATGAGCTGGCGTCAGGCTTTGGTTTTCGCTTTGGCTTCAGCTTGGCGCCTCTTCGCCGGGCTGCCGTGGAGGCTGATTGGGTTATGCTGTGATTTTAATTTTGAAATCATACGAATGCGAGTACTGCTGCAATGCAAAGCGATACGATACTACATGTGCGGATTTATTTATGCACATATCCACACACACACACACACACAGAGACATACGCGTACACAAAAAAAGGAATAAAAAAATATTCGTATTTGTGTGCGAGCGTAAAACGATAAAGCGCCTTACAGGATTTTGCATCGGACGGCTGCTGTTCGCAATTTGATAAGCTACCTCTGGGCATTATTTTTACGACTCTTTTCCGGCTCTCTCGCACACAGACAGACAGCGTTCGGCAGACGCCTGCAAATATGCAATAAAATATTCTGATTTTAAGCTGATGTGTAAATCAAACGAATCTTATTGTTTTCAATTTGTGCACACACACCCATTTTCACCGGCCCGCTTTTCCCGAACAAGTCTCACCGCCAGCTTAGAAGTTCAGTCGATTGCGGAGAATCGTCCTTCGACACTTGATCCCATAGAAATCGCAGATAGAAGAGCCATAAGCATGTATCAATCGAGTGTGGAGTGAAGTTGAAGGTTACCGGCGCCGAGAACCTACATACATGTATTTAAAAGTCAGTCTGCCTTTATTAAGTATACGCCCCGTTGAACAATTTAAACACTCATCTGTAGAAGAGCCTTTCAATTCAATGCTTCCAGTAATCAAGCGAAATTCATTCCTCTGAGAATTAAAGTCGATTTTTTCCCTTAAACTGTCACGTTAATATATTCCCATATTCACCTTAAAGAACATAAAACCACTCTAAGTATCCCAAACAAAATGTGAAGCTGTTTTTATTGTACTCGTAATTAATTTTAGCGAATTTACATTAACAGACGTATGAACTAAGCTATACAAGATTCGGATAAAGCGTTTCAAACATATGACTATGGGCATATGGATATGGTACAAACATACAAACGATATATACGATACATACAACTAGAACTATCAACTATCAACTACTGCGGAAACGGAAATGCTTTGCGCTGAAAGAATAAGGAGTAGAAGTAGACATGCCCTAGAATGGATAGAATAGTTAAGAGGTTAATGGTCCTATAAGAAGAGCTTGAAGAGGGCAAAGAGCGCCCAGGCAGCTAACGAGTAGAAAATAACCAATGTCGTATAGTGCAGGACCTTCAATCTGAAAAATGTATTTTAGAAATCGTTAGTAATCGTTAGTAATTTTTGTATGTAGTCTTTTAAGTCTCACCTTTCGTAGCGCTTAATGGACTCTGGAATATTACTGGGATCATCCTTGACTACATAGAGACGCAGCCCGTAGAGACTGACGCGGAACAGATTGGTCCAGTCCAAGTCCCGCATATCGAAGGCAAACAACCTTTTGTCCCTATCGTCCAGTTTTTCCGTAAGTTTTCTGACATTGTCGTTGTCGAAGCGGAACTCATTTGAACTAAAGTACTTTAGGACGTTGCTCAGCTTGTGGATCTTTCGGTATATCTTCATCATCCTAAAAAATAAAAAACATACTGAGTTTCATTGGAAACCAGAAAATCCCCTAAATCCAAACCCACCTTGGCTTCTTGCCGATGATCACCATGATGGCGTCCATGACCAGGGCGGGAAGTGTGTGATAGAAGAAGCACAGGATGTGATATTGCCACATGTGTGGCACAATGGTGAATCGCGGATACCAAATGGACTTGCGCATCGGTATGTCACAGCCGTACTCAAAGCCATCCTCCATGTATCGCCGCCAGGTGACCATGTTATCGGCATCCGGCACATAATTGTAAATCGGGGGCGTCTCGTATCTTTAAATTAATTTCAAATATCGAGTTTAAAATGTATAATAAAATTATTAAATAGTTTCAGAGCTTTGCAACCCACTTGTTCCGAGCTATATCCCAGGCACTGGCCAGCAGAGCATTCACGCACATATCCACGGGCACAATGTGCGCTTTGTTGTCCATGTCGCCGGTGAAGACTCGCAGCACGCCGGATCCGATGCCCACGATCACGCCACAGGGGCCGTACATATTGTCGATCCAGCCAGTGACCGGTTCGCGGTAAGTGGTGATCACTGTAATTCAAAAATCGGTTACTTAGAATTTTAAAGAACCGTAAAAACCAAGGAGTAAACGTTCTAACTCACCTATGCCCGGTCTGAAGATGGTGACTGGCAGATTCTGTGCACTCTGCTGCACGACATTCTCGGCCAGAACTTTGGTAAAGGTATATGTGTTCGGATAACCCTGGATAATGGTCGGCGTCAGGGTGTTGAGGGTGTGCTCGTCGAGGCACTCGCTCAGCTTGAAAGCATTCTCGCCGGTCATTGTGCCGCTGTAGAACTTCTCCTGGATGTGACGCATGTTGCAGTGAGCAAATGCTGTGGAGACGTGGACGAGGGCCTGGAAATATGATTTATTTAACATAAGAAATTCTTTATTATATATCTAAAAGTTTTAGACTAAAACAAACCTTTAGGTTGACAATCTCTTTAGCCAGCTTTATGATCTCCTTGGTACCATGGACATTGATGGCAATGGCCATTTTGAGCTTCTCATCAAAACGCACTGTGGCCGCACTGTGCAGAACGATGTTGACATTCTCCAGGATCGTCTCGCGCTCATCGGCGGATATTCCCAATCCCGGCAGCGAGCAATCGCCACTGATGATGGTAATCTGGCAGCGGTACTTGGGGTTCACCTGCTTCATTTTGCTAAAGACCTGCCCAGAAGAATTTCAATTAGTATGGGAAAAAATCAATTTGTTGTCCAAAGTCCACTTACGGGATCATTAAACAGATCCTCGATGCGTGCGAAGGCATCCTTGCCCTTCTTGGTGCGTATCAGCAAATAGATTTGTCCCACCTCCGTGACGCGCAGCAATTTCTCAATGATAACTGGAGACAGGACAGGATAGGGCAGCACGACACGACACGAGACGAGACGAGACGAGAAGATGAGAGGACGAAACAGGAGGTTGTGTAAAAAAGTGGGCGCCATTCCAGTCACGTACTGGGAGTCGAGTGGAACTTACTTTTGCCAAAGAATCCTGTGCCGCCAGTGAGGAAGACGCCCTTGTCCTTGTAGAACATTTGCATGGGCGACTCGTCTGCGGGGAAGAGATCAATGCAAACAGTCATTAAACAATTAGCCAATTTGATGCGCATCATTGGGGGCTCAGTTTCCCAATCCCGGCGTCCTCCGCCCCGCCCGATGTTTGTTCGGTTCGGTTTGTTTGCCGGCAACTTGAAGCGCCGCCACGAATTTAAATGCGCATCAAATGCCACTTGAATGGCGCATAATTCACGCCACACACAGATACGAACTACGCACACATGTACAGAACCAGATGCAGGGGCAGGCTCCGATATGGGCACCCACATAGGCGCATAGTTGGTGGGTCATGGGGCTACCGCCCTGCTCCTGCTGCTCCCGCGTGCATTTTTGCCCAAAGTGCCAAAACGGCAACAACACTTGACGTTTCAACGCCGCCTGCCAATGGTTGCTGCCCCTCTAAAAACCCCCTTTAGAAGCCGCCCCTCCCCTTGGACCCCCCTTTGTGGGCCATCCATCTCTGCCCACATTGTTGTTTGCGGCATCGGTTGCCTGCCACTTGCTGGGCCACTCATAAATATTTGCAAGTTAGCAGCTCGTCGAGCCATTCATCTATTGTCTAAAACGCACACACGCTGCCAGCACACACTCGCACACGCACAGTTGCATATGCTACACGTGTATCCATCTACACTGGCAAACTGTGGGAGTTAGTCTGCCTCTTTTTATAAATGTTTAGGTTATTTTCTTGTATAATCTATAAAACTAGAAATACTATATCAGAAATAGAAAACTATGAATATTCATTTTTAAGACTTTAATTGAAATGTTCAATGTTCTTTTCTGCATATTTTTCAAAAAAGAAAGGCATTCATAATTTACATTTTAATTAGAAGTATGCCTAAAAAATGACTTTCCATTAAATAGATTTTTTTTCCGTAGACAAACAATGAAACTAAATAATGGTTAGCCGCCAAAAATATATGCTCAAATAATCTAAATCAATTGTCACTAACATAACCAGCCTTAACCGGCATTAATTAAACCTTGTGGTTTCTGTGTACATTAAAAATAAATATTTGTGGAAAATAAACAAAATATTTAAAATTTCATAACGGACTAATTTGGTTTAGGCAGTTAGTTAATCCAGTTGAATATAGAATTTATAAGCTCTTATTCCTTTTCCATGCTCGAAAGGGATTAACTTATTTTCCGTAATTTTCACTCCCCAAATTATTGCCTTTTTCTTCAGTGCAAGATCCTCACACATTCCTCAATTGAAAGGCATCTCATCTTGAGAAGACCTGGTTCAACTTCGCCTTCGCCTACGCCTGTGACTCAAGCTGCCTAATTGCCAATCGTCGACGTAAATCACTGTCAGTCGGCGGACAGGGACCGCTCGCAGCCCGATATGCAGCCAGCCAGACAGCCGTACACAATTGCCACTTGATAATTGCATAATAAATGCAACATTGCTGAGGAGGATGTGCCGCCGGCCCTTCATCGCCCTCAGGATTCCCATTTGCCCATCACCCCAATGCCCTGCTGCCGGCTCAAGCATAACAAACACATTCATTCAAATACGACTTGACACCTATAGCTGACACCAACAACAGCTCCTGTCCAATGGCAAGCCACCGCTATGCCATCACAGCTCCCTCCTCTCCCACCTCCTCCTCCTCCTCCTCCTTGGAGCAAATTCCTGGCTCGAGGCCGCACTCAACCACAAGCACTGGGCTGGCTCACTCAAATGTTTTGTTTACCTATGCTAATTGGCTTAAATGCAACTCAAGCGCACTTCGCCTCCATCGCGCCCAGTGGAAAACTGACAAGAAAGGCAGGTTGACTTTGGAGAGATCTAAGCTTGAAATACCCTTGCCGGACACTTATTTTCAAAAAATAAATGTATATACTAATCAAGCTAGGTTTAATTCAAGTATCTTTAAATATTATAGGTAGGTATAAAATATAATTTTTAGATTTTGATCAGACTGCTGCTTTCCTTTTAAACTTTTAGATCAAATATAAGTACCTTCTGTGAGAGTATCACAAGTTTGCCACCACGCATATCTTCCCTTCCTCTTCCTCTTTTGGAAAACCGACTAGGAAAAACCCCCGAAAGACTCTGGCTTGAAAGCCAACGTCATTGTTCGGGGCCGCGGCGAAATCGAGCCTCACTTGGAGTGACTCGAGTGGGAGTGGAGTGTGGCGTTTAAAGCTCTTCGAGCGCTTTGGGGCATTTGTTCAACGCTAACTCCGGCTCCAGCAAAGGCACCAACAGCACCAGCACCAGCACCAGCACCAGCCACACCATCAACCAAATCCCCACCAGAATGCCCAACAACAGCAGCGCCACTTTGAGTGAATTGTCAACAATTGTTGTTGGCTCTTCGGATTTTGCGGGCGGCAGACAAAAGACAAAAGTCTGTCACATAATTTGTCAATTTCAACAAATTTTTGTTTCAACCCCGCTTACCCTCCGGGCAACCCCGCTAATGTAATATTTCACGTAAATGCCTTTTATTTTTCCTGGCTTGTGGCTGGGGATTTGCGTGGTTCTGTTTTTTTTTCCCCCTCGTTTTTATTTTTTTTTTTATATTTGTGGAACTGGTCACTCACCCTTCACGTCATTTATGAGCTGACAATGATCTTCCAGCGATTTCATCCCATTCATGATGTTCATTATTTTGGGATCATCCATCTTAGCCAGGTAAATATTTCCTAATTATCTGCGGGAAGAGAGCACAAAAATGCGGAATAAATTAGTAAAACAGGAAATTCAGGTAACTTAAATCAGAGAATGTAAATAATGATTCATAATTGGTATTTACAAAGATACTAATATGCAGTGGCGGTTCGATTTGGGATATATTTAAGTGAACTCTTTATTTTCAAACGAATATTATAACCTTTTGGAAATTAGCTATAAGAAATTGGCATATAAATTCTCAAAATCCCTTTCCTTAGCTTATATTATAGATTTTTTCTGGCCTTCCAAAGTTTGTAGAATTAGCTTGAAATTTATAGTGACGCGAATTCCGATTGCATTCCCTTTCAGCAACACAGATAATCCCCTAATTGAATATCTGGACTCAACCCATTCAGCCTAACAGCCGCCCCAGAGAAGTTTTCGGGAAATTATTCCTTTAATTCGAGCTAGATGAATGGGAAGCGAAAACCATAAAGCCAATTACAAGAGCCCCAAAGCGGTAACCATGCGACTGTTTCTTGGCTACTAAAAATCAAATATATACGTAAGTATATTTCGCTCCAGTAAAGCTCGAAATTTAATTAAAACTTTGCTCCTTGCTGGCAGGCCAGAACCAGGAGCCACAGCTAGACGCCGGGAAAGTGGGGAAAAGTGGAGCAGAGCGCGTCACTGAAATTTCTAATGAAGTGCCAGACGCACCTGTTGACACAGCCGAAAAACAAGAAGGCTAAAGGCGGCTAGATATGAAACCGAAACCCAAATGAGAGTCAAACTCAAATAAAATTTAATAAAATTCAAATTATACAGAGTACGGCGAGAGAGTGGCGAGTGCAGCGTTGCCGCTGAGGTGAATGAAACTATGCAAAAGTTGCGATAACAAATGCGTTACAGAATTTTGAACTCGTTTCATTTTTGGCAAAATGAACAGCGAATTTAAGCTAATTTCAAACTGGGCTCGCAATTTAAATGAACTCGTTTTCAGCACCGTCATGGCGAGGTGTAAACTGTTCAGTGTATATGTGCAACCTGTTACCATAACTCATATATTTAATTTTGATTTGATTCCATGTCGGACTTTAGCCGTTCGATGCCGCCTTTATGGGAAGCACATGAGAGTAGTGATAATTACGTACTGGCCAGCAGAAATAAAACAATTGATTCAAGACTCCCGGCGAGAACCAATAGTGATAGTGCGAACGCAACCAAAGCTCAGCGGGTGAAGTTACACAGAGAAATACGCGTATCTCGGAGGACAAAGGCAGAAAATACCGTGGAATTCCGGGAGATGTAAGTACAGTGTGTTCCATAACGGAGTGCCAGCCTGCCACCGAATACCAACAACAGGTAGTTAAGGTCATGAATCTGTGTCTGTAATTAACTCGTGTTGGGAGCGCCCTTTTATCGGAACATTAGCAGGCGTAAATAACTCCAGTCAATTAACTATGTAAATAGGCGAGTGTTGGCAATCATTAAATGAAAATATAGGGTATTTAGATAAGAGTATGAAAAAGCACCAGTCATTAGAATAATTAGCAACTTGCTTTTCTGTTAATGTTTCGACTTGGGTTCAAAGCCTTGCTTTAATGGGAATTCATGGGAGTAATGATTAATAATAAGTTTTAATGATTTTACTAGAACCTTTTCAATGTTACTTCATATATTTTATTGTAAATACTATTTCTCTCTTAACCAAAAAACATTTCCCTTAAATAAGACAAGTTTTTCTGTTGAGATTGCAGAAATCAATAAAGAAATTATCTTATTACGATACAAATTAAATAATATTGTCTTAATTAATCGCATAACGCTCCATTGCAGTCCATATAATGAACGTGATTAAGCCAAATTAAATGTAGCAGGCAGCCTTACACTGCCGACGCGCACTGTCTGCTTGTAAACGTACGGAAGACCAACAATGGGAAGGCAACAAACAAAGGAAGCCGCAGGGAAGGCTGAAAGCTGAGAAGACAAAGAGACAGGCAGCAGTCAGCTCGGCTGCCACATGAAAATTAAAATTAAATAATTTCGAGCAAGTCAAAGTCTCGCACAATTAACCCATATTTGCCATGTTTGCGAATGGAAACCGAGCACCGATAGCCACCTCGTTACCCACTGCACTCCACGCCACGCCAGTGCACTCCACTCTGCTCCCGTTCCCAATCCCCTCCAGCTGCTTTTGCGGCTGTGGCGTGTTGCATTTCACACCAATTGGGAAGCTTTTACACCACTCGCGCTTGGCTCGGCGCTCACTCAGTCGGATGAGTGACGAAAGCAGCGCAGTGCAATCCAATGACAGACGGCGCGGCGGCGGTGGAGACGGCAATAGGGGTATCAGGGGTCGGGAAACGGGTACAGGGACACTTAGTTAGTTGGGCAGCTAGCCAAGCTCCATACAACTGACTGGACTAGACGGGAGGCCGCTCCAAAGCCGGCTAACTGGCAGTGTCGGCCAAAAAGCCACTGCAGCTGATTGCACCACGTCGACGACCACAGCGCCACCGATGCCAACGAGGAGTGGAGCCCATCTATCCATCCATCTATCCATTTGTCCGTCCATCCCACCAGCAGCCGTAGGAAAAGCTGCGAGAGGTGTACGCACTGAATGAACCTTTGCCGAAGGGAGGCGACCAGGGAAGCGGGGTTCGACTTTGTAGACGAATTTATACATTGTTTAAGTATCAGCCGCAGATACTGTTGCCCGCCGTGCCTTTCCCCGTTGTCCACTCAGTTGCCGACACCAAAACTCCATCGTCAATGCACATCGAAGCGCAGCTAATTGAAACAGTGCGGCACAGTGGGCCTAAGCCAAAGAAAAGTGCCACAAGAATGCCAGCAATCGGGAATAGAGTTTGTAGGTGAAGTTGGCAAGATATTAGGAACTGGGAGGATATGGTAGATTATTGTGTTTTATTAAATGATAGATTATGTTCAGATGCACTACTATTTAAAAAGCTTTAAATTCTATTAATAAATTTATTAAATATCTATGCACTCCATACACTATTTACAGAAATATCAGCTTTACAAATTAAAAAATTTTTTTTTTTTTACGTATTTCTTCATATTATTTTCGTATTTCTTTCAGTTACAAAGTTACTCGGCCTGTTCAACTAGCAGGAATTATGTTGATTTTAAGCAACGTTCAAGGTATTCCGCGCAATTATACATTTACATTTCAAGGAATTTCAACCCAGTTATAACAAATTCCACTGTGTGACTTGGCCTGATGTTGCCACTTTCGGTACTTCTTTTACTTCTGGCGCTTGTTTGCGTGCGGTGCACCAGACTGGCTGCTGCTGCTGCTGCTGCTGCTACAACTGCAGCAACAACTACAGAAAACTTTTCAGTGAAACAATGGCCCGAAAAACAAAAGTATGAACCACAACAATAACAACTGGACTGAACCAGGGGGCAGTTGTTGGGGCAGGAACAGGAGCTCTGTTAGTTAGCAATGCAACAGCAACGCAGCGGCGGCAACAATGGGAATAACGCGAGCAACAGCAACAAAAAAAAAAAAAAAAAATCAGCGCCACCACTTCGCATATTCCCCTGGAATCCTGCGAATCGAAATTTTTACCATCAGAGGGGATAGCAGTTTGCCTTTGCCTTTTTCCATTTCCTTCCGCCCACTTTCCCCTCGTACCAAACACTTTTGACGAGGCTCATTCGCTTTGAATTTTATTTAATGCTTTTGTAATAAAGTGTAAAATGGTGGAAAAGTGCAAACAACGGCCACAAGAGCGAGAAATGCAAAGAGGACGAAGGCGTTGCATAATATCAGCAACATCATCATCATCAGCAAGGGCAGACTCGTTACCAAGGAGCCGGGCCAGGAGCAGGACCTCATCCCACAGTCGGGGGCGGAATAAGTAAGAGCTGCGGCCAACACCAGTGGCCACATTAAAAGAAGAAGAAATAATTAACAGCAACAGTTTGAAAGTCCATAAAATGGAAATGGTCGAGCATTGCCATCGCCATCGCCATCGCCGTCGCCGTGTTGACTCCACCACGAACTCCACTTCCAGATACAGTGCCACCCGTTTGCATCCACGTCCACCGTTGCCTCATTGGCATCACCATTAACAGTGGTGCAGACGCCGCCGCCATCGCCACCGCCAACGCCACGACCACCGCATGTGCCATACAACTTCCGACTTCCGCTGGCTTTGCCCTGTCTGAAGGAGGGTCTGTGACTGGGTCCGGGCTATAATACTATATATACGTATATGTACGGCTATATACATAGTATTCTCTGGTGCAGCGCACTTGTTTGCCATACCCTTTTCGGTAAGTGGCAATGACAGAGCAATCGATTCGGTTGCATCTCCGCATATTTACTGTCTAACCCGTGACAAAGCAAATAACTTGAAGAGCAATGGGAATTTTTCAATTGATTTTTTAAATGATTTTCTTTGCCTTACTAATTACTCTGACCGCAGATTATCTCAATTTTCATGTTTAATTACATTGTATTGTGTTTTTAGAGTAAAGTATATAGTAATTTCTACAAGTTCTACAAGTTTATTTGTAATACAGATATTTTCTTTCTAAAATAAATGTAATTCCTTCAAATCAATTCCCCAAAATTAGATTTTTCAGTTTAGAAAGAGCCTCAAAATTCAGAATCAATTAATTTATATGTAGGGTATTCAAATTTCATCACCAAAGTTTAGTCTGGCTTTTCCGATTTATATTCTTTGCTATTTGTTAATGCCGTTGTTGCTGTGCGTCGGCTGTTGTTGCTGTTGTCACCGGGTTGACACACAAGCAAAGAGTCTCGGCAAAAAATGTTCGTTAAATCTATTAAAAGATAATTACGTGAAGACAAATGGACGGGCAACGGGAGCCACATCAGGAGCAGGAGCAGGAGCGGGAGCTCTGGGTGTCCGGGTATCTTTTGTGCCAGCTCTCGCATCCTATCCAGTGGCCGTGCCGGTGTCCGTATCCGTAACCGTGTCCGTGTCTGTGTACGTATAGTTGTCCGCATCCATAACCATGCCCAGCTCCTGCTTCTGCTCC